CAGACAATTTCACGCAAAACAACTCCTGGTGTGGGTTGTATTGTTTTTCAAATGTGGTTTTTTTTGTCTTTAAGCAGAAGTCATCTGTTTTCTAAACTGTTGTTGTAATATTCATAACCTAGTTGAGGACAAGGCCTGTGAGACAGATTTCAGCCCAAAAACGTAGAAGGTATAATGTGTTTCCCTAAATGCTGACTGCTGCAAAGCAATCTGATAAGATCCAGCAGACGGAAGACGGGAGGAGAGATAGATAAGGAAATATGTCACAATGAGCTGTCTGAAGATAAACTCTGAATGTGAGTGTTTATGACTGTTCTGCTCGCTTTATGATATATTTATGGTAAGAATCTCTCGGGCTTGTTTTGATAGCTGGGAAATTAAAGCAAATCTGAAACTGAAAGTGTGCGTAGGTGTGTAAGAGAGAATGTGTGTGAGTAGTCTCATCATATTTCAAAGTGAAATCTGAAATAGAAGTTATATTTCGTATAGTCATGCTTAGCCAGACTTTTGAGCCTCGGCATAAAGTTTGGCCCAAGAATCAGCCAAGAATCACCCACTTAGGAAAAGACTATCTGGAAGACGTAAAGTGATCAGTCACAGTTCACAGTTTCATTACAGGAAAGGTCATCTTAAATAGTTGCAAAAAGTCAGCCAATCAGATCAGTGCTTCCCAAGATCAAAAAAGCGCTCCATTTTTTAATTATTATTTTTTTTTTTTTGCAATATGCATCAAGCGGTTACTGAACAGACTGTGGCTGCTTTAAGGCTGAAACAAAATTTCTTAAAGTCTGTGTGAAACGGAAATTGCGACTGAATTTACTTGTTGCAAAGATTCAATGATCTTAAACTATTGTAACATATTTTAGAATGAAATGGAATATTTCATGGAGAGTATTTAATTCAGTTTGTTGTGAAGTTGAGTCGACTTTACAATATTTTACAGTAGGCTATATCTGAATGAAATTGAATATCGAATGAGATAAAACAGTGGGCGGGGCTTGGTTTTAGTGCACTTCCTTGCCTTCTTTAGCTCGTAGCAGACTGACGGTTGGAAGGGAGTGGTTAAGAATGTTTTGCAAAATCAGAGATGAAACACTACTTAATTAAAGATTACAGATTACAGAAAAAAACAATTTTTATGTATTTAACTTGCACAGATTAATTGTTCACCACAAGACTAGGAATGTGCCCTATCAAAATTACTTTCTTGTAACCATGTATACAGAGAAAATTATTTGTAGGTTGACATAAAATGTAAACACTGTGGCACTTTCAAAACATTGCTTTGTTTGTTTAAGAATCCAACCAGGCTGACATAGCAACATCGGCTCAACCAATAGCATGAGTTTGGGGAAGTCTATGCATCGACCAGTAGCAGATCATGGAAGTGTTTGGGAAACCTGCAGAAACTTTATTTATTTATTTTTTTCCCATTTGGTGAAGCTAGTGGTGCAGAAATTATACACTTCGACACAGACTCTGTGTTCTTCCCAATGCAATTCTCTGTGCATTTTCAGAAGGGCATTTGTGTAATATTTATGCATAATGTAAAATATTCAGCGTTTATACTATGTAACAGACTTCCGCACATTTGTAATTGAACTGCAGCTAGTGCTTGTGTGTGTGCCTCCATAGTTGCTCTGGATTAAAATGTTCTGCAACAGTGCGGTGATGACCTCCAGTGTAGCGTCCAGGGGACCCTTCAGAACACATTTGGTGTCCGCTCTCCACTGCTGCTGTGGCCGTCCCCTCTTATCTGTCACGCCGGCGCCCGTGTCTCTCCCCATCACTGTCTTTCACCCCCGCCTCGTTCTGTAATCACACCATTCTCCTCTATCTTACCTTATTCTCCCATTGTTTATCCTCTTGCTTTTCAAGCAACTCCCACTGTTTGAATGAGATAAATATTCTTGCTATTTTTAGGGGTGCTTGCATCTTTCTTTTATCTGCTTTTCAAAGTGAGTTGAGTCATCAGTGTTAGTGTCCATGTTTGTGTTCACTATACAGCGTTATTTTTGTAAGATTGATCCTATTCATTGATACTTTTATAGTTTTTATTAATATATTGAATTAGTTTTTTTTTTTCATATCGGCATGGCTGTGATTCAGCATTAGGTAATCACAACACGCTGATATACAGCCATATCGCACTGCTACTTGTGCGATATTTTATTTATACAACAGTTTGACGGCACGAGTGTGTAAATACATAAGAAACAACAATGGAGTGTCTTTAAAAACCCTACTTTCTTCCGCCATGGATTCAAATCTCAAGCTGACAGTTTAACAGCTGAGCCCAAGCCACCATTACTAATTTGAAAACGTCACTTTACAACTAGTAATGAAGGAACGTTGAGTTGCTTTATTGAAAACGTATCATATTACTGTATATAGCTCACTGTATTATGTAGAGTATTATGAGAGAGAGATGGACTGAGCGACTGTGATTACTTGCATCTGATACAGCATTCATTCTTCAGTTCAATCTCATATTCACAATAAAACATTAGATTGAATGTATGCCAAGGAAAGCAATATCTTTGTCATACTATCCTTTCATCTTTTTGGTGATTTCCGATGACAGTGCAGCTCAGTGCATTTGTTGGCTGCGTCTTAGAAGGTGTTGTTAAAAGTAAAAGTAACTTCCTAGTTTACAACTTTGTTTCAGTATCTTTCAATATAAAACTGCTGACACACTCATAAAAAACAGTCTCTTGTCACCATCTAATGGCGTAACACTAAAATCACCGTCACAAACACACAAATAACTATAATTAGATAGTACTATTATTTATTGAATAATAATATTTAACATACAACAACAACAGCCATCATTGTTCTCACTCTCTTGTACCTCATCTTTTCCCTTCTCAATCCCCATTTTCCTAATTTCATCCCTTCCCTTTTCTTCTCTTTGATTCTACTTCCAGTCTCAGCATACCAATTACTAATAAAAAATGCCTCAAGAAGACCTTAGCGCCATCCACGAGTCCCGCTTCACAGAGTTGGCTGCTGTATATGTGTCCTTTGATACCCTGAATAGCCCAGAATGCTCAGCGCTTTCCTCTCACTCTCTCTTGTCCTTTCTCATTAAAACCCACCCCGGTCCACAGAGGCAGTGCACCCTGGGCATTGCCAGCTATTAATCCACCACAGCTGAAGTCCGGTGACATGTTTTCCTTTCCCAGCTTTCGCTGCCTAATTACTGAACAAATTGCCACATTTATCTCTCCGTTTTTTGCTGCATAATTCCTCCATTTTTAACTGTAACACAGAACCTGCTCGTCCACTGTGCCCAATGTTGTTGGTGGTGTTCGGTATTGTTTGCATTTACATACACATGCGTTCATTGGGATTTGCTGGGAGATGAATGATGGGATATTTCGCCGTGCTAATTGGCATATAAGTGTGACACATGCGGAAATGCCGTGGCACTAAATTATAATGGTGCACAAGGGAGTTTGAGCAGAAGGTTACATGGGTCATCTTACAGAGTTGACCTGACCCAGGGGCGCAGGAACAATCTGGAACAACACATTAGAAACCTTATCAGCTTGTCTCATGAATATTAATTAGGTGATGTAACAAGTGATAGGCTGATAGGTCAGGCCAATTAATTGGCATCAGCTTGCTGTGTCCACTGGCCCAAGAGTGTAAGCTGTAAAATCTGCCAGCAGTTATTTATTTATTTATTTACTTACCTGTATGTATGTATTTATTTATTTATTTATTTATGTGTTGTTGTTTTATATTTCTCAATAATAATAATAATAATAATAATAGTAGTAGTAGTAGTAGTAGTAAAATTGAGGACAAATATTTTTCCAAACCACACATCCACAACTAAACTCTCAAAAGACACAAACACACAAAACTTCACAAATACAAATTTGTAGTTGGCTAAAATTTTGTGTGCCATAAAAAAAACAAATCATATATTGTGTGTGGGGGTGTATAATAATTAATACAGGTTAAAATGATTAATGGGTAATGGTTTCCATGCCCTTGACCTCACATAAACTCTGGCATTGTCCACAGAAAGGTTTATAAAACAGACCTGAGACTGTCTTGTCAACATATTCATTTGGTAGGCAAAGCAATGATGTCATTTTTTGCCAACATACTTTACATCCAAACCCGTAGCACCAGTAACTCGACAACAATAGCCATCAGAAGACTCATACTGACAAACAAGACCCAGTCTCACTGTATATCTCTTTCACTGTTCTTTCAAACCGGTATATTGGTAAGGTAAACATTCAGAAGTACACAAAGCATAGCTTATTTTCTCATGTTTGATCTTGTTTGAAAGGTTATCAATGGCTCCGTGAGTTCTGAATAGAGCCATTGTAAACGGCTTTACTTATCTTGATTGAGTGCTAACCACCAATGAATGAAGAAGTAGTTTACGGAAGGAAATTATTCTCTTATCAGTAATAACACATCTATGCTGTCATGTAGTATTACAGTAAACTGAATATTTCAGAGGAGAACTCTTCAAACATCAGTCATCTTTTATTTAGTTTAATGATGCCGGTATACACAACCAGTCAAACGTTTGGACACACTGAACCTCGTGATCTTAAAAACCTTTTGATCTAAAGGCTTATGAGTAAATGCTTGACATTAGATTTTTTTTTTTGAAAAATCTAAATTATGCATTTCTTAAAAAAAAAAAAATGTGTAAAAAGTAATAAAAATTAGTAGGTGTGTGCAAACCTTTGACTGGTAGCACTAATATTTGAAAGTAATGTGTAATTGAAAAAATATTTAAAATATTACAAAGTAAATACATAAGACAAAACAAAATAAAATGAAATAAATTAATTGGCAAGAACTATTTCTTTTGTTACTTGAAAAAAAAACAGTTGGCTTTTTATTCTTCCTCTTTATGTATTTTACTCAAATACATTACTCATTCATCTTGTTATATTGATAAGCTGAGACAACAAAGTGATTATTCGTAATGTAGATTAGTAGGTCAAGCAATAATAACTCACAGTTTCCACTGGTAGACGGTGACGGCTGGATTGGCATCTGCATTGCACGTCAGCTTTACATCTTGACGATTCAGGTACCAGTTCCCGTCGAATCCCTCGATTTTTACCTCTGGCTCATCTATATAAAAGCAAAAAAAAATTTCTTCAGGCAGGGGCTCAGATGGCTTTTCTGGGTCACATGACTTGACGATGGGTGCTTGTCATGATACTGATTAATGGTCTGGGCTCATAGCTAAAAGGTCAAGAGTTTATTTCTTAAGCGATTGGGTGGAGAGCCAACAAGTGAAGGGTTACTGAGACTACAACCACCACTGTGCCCTTTTGCTACCCACTTAGCCGCAAGCTGCTCCAGGGCAACTATTCCAGAAATTGGCCTAATTGGATAAAAACCTCAGCTAAATGCCAAATTTCAATTCATTACAGCACAATTTTTCTATTAATGACAATTTTAAAATGCACTGCATACTTGATGGTACCGGTCAGTCATTTCTCTGTCTCTTCAGATTTATTCTTAATTGCTTTCATGAGCATCTATAAGGCCGAGCAAATTCAATTTGGAAATGTTATACCAAAGGGTAACTTGATTAACAAAACACTCAAAGTAAATCAAGAATCAGGACGAGTGATTCTCTGAGAACTTACCGCTGCTCTAAACACGGCCTTTCACACAAACAACTGCACCGCAAGAACAATGTGTTCTGTAGCATAGTGTGGGAGAATGCGTGGATTTCCTCTATCAGTGTGCTGTATGGGGGCTGCAATACTGCTCTAAACTGCGCTAAACAATAGCTGATAACAACAGCTGCTGAGACAGGCCAGTGACACATCTCTTCTTGCTCTGAACCTCCTCCGCAGGACTTGCGTAACAGTACAGCATTAATGCTAACATCTTATTACTGAGCACAAATACATTTTTTTGTACTGTTTAGGCATTCCAGTGGGGTTTTAAATACATATGTCAGTAATTAGACAAGTCAGATGGATCGTTACATCAGCTCAATCATTAAAACAGTTTAATTAAATCTGCATTTTGAGAAAACTGGATAACATGCACTTATGTAATTTTGTGATGTATATTATATAGGCTACACTACTGATCAAAAGTTTGGAACAATTACAATTTTTGCCACGTTTTTTTGAAAGAAGTCACCATACTACATTTATAAAAATAAATAAAATGAAATAAAATAAACAAACGAATGAATGAATGAATGAATGAATGAATGAACATTAAAAAAAAATCTATTTTAAACGTGTGTTTTTTTTTATTTTTTAATTTTAATTTTTTTATTAATATTGGAAAAAGTTTTTGCTGCTTAATATTTTTTTGTGGAAATCATGCTACATCTTTTCAGGATTCTTGATGAATATAAATTCTAATGATGGGATTCTAATGAATAGAAAGTTCAATGAACAGCCTTTATTTAAAAACATAAATATGTTGTACCATTACAAATGCCCTTCCTGTCACTTTTGATCAATTTAATGCGTCCTTGGTGAATAAAAGTTATGATTTCTTCGCTATTAAACAATAAACAGCAAAAACTGATTTCAGCATTGATAATAATAAGAAATGTTTCTTGAGCAGCAAAACAGTATATTAGAATGATTTCTAAAGAATCATGTGACACAGAATACTGGAATAATGATGCTGAAAATTCAGCGTTTAAATATATTAAAACAGAAAACATTTATTTGTAATTGTAATAATATTTCACAGTATTGCTGTTTTTACTGTATTTTTGATCAAATAAATGCAGTCTTGGTGAGCAGAAAAGACTTCATTCAAAAACATAAAAAAAAAAAAAAGAATTATCCCAAACTTTTAACCGGTAGTATGTTTTATACATACTGTATCTATCAATAACATAATTTCTTGTGTTCCTGCAGAAATTTGAAAGACATGAAGAAAAACATTGTTCTTACACTGAACGTTGAGTATGACGCTGTCTGTAAAGCGTTCTGCACGGTAGGTGACGATGCAGGTGAGCTTCTGACGATGGGTCTCGCGGCTGGGCAATACGATATAGTTACTGCGCACGGTCACGGTGCCATTCGGATTGCGCGTTTCCTGAAATGTGGCTTCGCCCTTCAGAGTGGTGTCCCATTTGATGACGCTGGGAGGCTTGCCGTTAGCCGACATGCAAGTGGCCACGGGCATCTTGCGTTTCGGTGTCCTTGCCACGATGGTGGGCGAAGTCAAGTTCATCTTGGTCACTGGCCGTGCTGGAAGAAATAAGTAAACAATAAAAAACAAGAAAAGAAACACTGTAAGATACTAAAGCACTGTGTGAACAGAGGTGCCCTTGAGAATTTGCAAAGTAAACAAAAAATTATTATTTTTCACAGCGATCGAGTGACTCTAACACTAATCTCTCCGTTCTGAAAAGTCGTTTTTTTCCCCGTCAGTATAAATCAAGCAGTTCACTAATTTCTTTTCCCCCTACCCTGTGTTCAAAGCGAAAGCATCAGTCAAGCACTCAAACAGATGTAGAAACCACTCGTTTCTCGCGGTGCCCGAAGTCATCCAATCTCGATCCTTTATGGGCTGCCAATTAGCAATTTACAGGCCCGCATCAAAAGGGAAGATGTGTGTTTATGCGAGTGCGTGTCAAAGAGTGCTGATAGCAGGACTGAGGTTTGTGGCGAGGGTTGATATGACATGAAGAGGCTCTTTGAAAGCACTGAGCTGGTTATCTCCATTCAGGTTGCTCACTCTTACTGCAGTGCCAGCGTTCTCAGAGGACGCATGTGAACGTGATATACAAAATGGGCTTGGGAGTTAACAAGCCACACTAGTGTTAAAAAAAAAAAAAAACACCCCCTACTTGAGCCAA